ATATATTCAATAAAAAAAAAAATACAATATTTTACTGTCAGTGTAAATGTCAGTGAAAATATTAAACTACCTAAAAAAAAAGGAAAAGTGTAATATATTTTTTAAAGAATACATTTTTTAGTACAGTACTATGATGTTGGAAATAAATGTAATCATGCAGACCTGCAATGGATATACATATACATATATAAACTAATAAATTCTGTCTCGTCTTGCAGCTGGAGCTGAATTCACTCCGCTCTGAGAAGCAGCGCCTGCAGCGACGCAACGAGGAACTGCTGCGCAGTCAGCGCCAGACGCCGTCGCCACCCAGTCCGGGCGTCAAGAACGGCTCACCCGTGCAGTTTACGCCGCAGCGCATCAGTCCCGTTTCGCTGGAGAGCTTGGGCGCGCGCATGCGGAGCAGCTCCAGCTCGCCGAGCATCATACGACGCGATGTGGCCACGCAGGCAGCGGGCAAGGTGACAGCCACACGGGATGCGGCCGTGGGCGCCAAGCTGAGCGTACGGGATGTGGCCACGCAGCAGGCGGAGGCGATCTACTCACAGGCGGAGCTGAAGCAGAGGATCGAGCAGGCGATCGGCGAGCGGAGGCAGCAGCGGCTCAGGCAGCTCATTTCGGTGGGCACCCAGATGTATGTGCCGCAGCGCGAGCAGCGGGAGAAGGGCATGCAGACGGTGCCGGAGCGGCCGGTGCTCAAGCACAATGTGAGCATCAGTGCCAAGCCCGCGACGAGGGAGAGCTTCACCAGCTGCCAGCCGGAAGTGCGCAGCGTGGGCAGCTCGGAGCACCGCACCACGGACGTGCTCTGCGAGAAGTGTGCCATTACCAAGCGCAGCGTAAGCGTCAGCTGCGGCACCGAGGAGCCGCTGGAGAAGCCGAAGCCAGCTCAGCTGCTGCCGGGACGCAGCAACACCTTCAGTCTCGGCGAGCACGAACAGCTGGCGATCAAGCGTAAGGCCATCGGCTGTCAGACGCTCTCCACTCCAGTCCACTCGGCATCGAGTCAAACCACAACGGCCACAGTTCGCTCGACCGGAGCTCAGGTCATGCCGGAGCAGCAGCAGATGGCCACCCAATGCGCGCCCGTGGAGGCGACCAGCCGGCAGACGGACACCAACGGCCTGCAGCGACTCACACGCAGCAGCGTCAGGGCCGAGCAGCTGATGGCGCCACTCGTGCGACCCGCGACCTGCCACACCGGCAGCAACACCGAGCCGCCGCCGCTGCCCAAGCCGGAGCGCCTCACGGTTCACTCCGCCTGCAACACGGAGCAGGTGCGCAAGCGAGACGTCGGCTGTGGCGACATCGTCAAGCCGCACATTTCGATCGCCTGTGCGGCCAACTACTGTGATTCCTGCAAGGAGGCCATCCAGGTGCTGGCCAAGGATTTCTCGAAAGCGGAGACAAGCGACTTGGCTCCCGTCTCCCCAACAGCTGCAGCAGCTACGCCCACAGCTACTTCCTCCACCACTTCCACGGTGCGCCGCTCCTCATCGGCGGACTCTCGCATACCGCGCCCCAAACATCTCACTAGTCCCAGCCCGGTGCGCAAGCAGTTCCAGCGACAGAATACCTATACGTTGCCAACGGCCGCAGGAGCAGCAGCGACTCCCAAGAGTCCAAAGGCGGAAGGAAAAACGCTTCTGAGGTGAGTAAGAGGGATGGGGTAAGGGGTATGGGTAGGGGAAGGGGTAGAGGTAGAGTATGAGTAGAAGTAGGAGAATTCAATTAATTATACTCATTGAAGAGGGAAATGTGTAAGTAGGTTTAGTTCAATTCCTGTCCGTTCCCCCTATGTCTCACTCTCCTTCCGGCCCTTCGTTCATACATCTCGCCTTCCTCCTTTTTGTATGAAATCAAACATATTTGCAGCTGTTAACATCTACTCTCTCGTGCACCCTCTTATAGACTTTTTAAAAATTTCGATGGGCGTGGCAAATCGAAAATGTATTTTCCGATTCTCTCTTCTCGCGTAGGCGCACGGCCGAAAGCTTCTATAGTTTTGCTAAGTTATGAGCTATATAAACTTACCTATTGAGGGCGTGGTATATTGTAAAATTAAAAAGCTGGTACCGCAGTCAGTAACGTCCGGTTGCAACGTTCTTATTTGTTACTAATTGTTCGAGAGCAACAATAGTAATATGTATCGTTCCACTGTGCCGCAAGTTTCAGTGATTGCTCTCGCTCTCAAAAAAAAATATCTGTTTAGCCGCCGTAAATTTCGCTTAACAAAATATATTAACAAATTAACAAATAATTACCATTTAAATAGCTTTGTTCCACTTGGCTAGATTTTTCCGCCTAGCTACAACATTTGTTCCACTGTATCACACAAAAGCTTGCACTGCAAGCTTTTAGCCAAGTCACGAACCAAGCGCAGGCAAATGCTGGTCATGCGCACTGCAGGCAACGACTCCGATTCGGAGTCCGAATTCCCGAAATGTGGCAAGCCAGTCGCATTGACCTTCAGGCACAGTTTTCGTTTTTGCTTTGGCGCGTTTGCAGCTTCGCCTCGTTTATCGACTTTTTTGTTTATTGTTTGGCTTTTCGTTCTTCCCATGGTGTTCTCAATGTTTTCCGGGCTGAGCAGCTTCACCTGCTACCCGCTGGTGGTCAGCGGCTGCTCCGTGCTGCTCCTAACGTGTGTCGCCCTTGGCTCAAAGTTGTCAATATTTTCATTAACTTCATTTCTTTTCGTTCAATAGCTCGCTGCAGGAGAAGCCGCCGAGCGCTGCGCTGGACGCGTCGCCGGAGTCTCAGAGCTTTATCAAACAGCCGTCCAGTAAGTCAACCGCCACGTCCAAGGATCTGGACTTCACCCAAATGGGCGACGACGAGTTGATTGTGCGCGAGGAAAAGCGTGTCAGCATTAGCTGGTCGCGCGATGCCTCGCCAGCCCCGCTGATGACATCGTCTGCCACCACGACGACCAGCACCAAGTCCGCCTCGCCGGAGCAAGCGTCCAGCGATTCCAATGTGGAGCGCGAGATTTCGCAGGGCGCGCGCAAGAAGTCCAGCACGCCCCTCAAGTCTAGTCAGAGCGAGGGCTCCCAGGTGACCGTCATCGAGCGGAAGACAGAGGATGCGGAGCCCAACAGCACAAAGGAGGAGCGCCCGCCCACCAAGGCCCAGCTACATCAGCTCGCCCAGGCGCCAACGGAGCCCAGGCAAAAGTGAGTTCGGGAGTGGAGATGTACATTTTTATTATTTGATATACTTTTTTAGTTTTTTAATTTCTCTGTAAATATTTGTTATTTCTATTTATTAT